TATATTATAATTATTTTCTATATTTTGAAAAATCAGCACAACATGGAGACTGGGGTGTTTGTAGATTTGACCTTCTTGTCAAGAACTGTCAAGGCTCTGAGATTTTACTCTACTTGCAAGCAGACAAGTTAATGTGCCTCAGTTTTGTGGTTGTTGGCTGAGACTCTTGGGTCAGAGACACAGGACTTTATTATTCAGAGGCAGCATGAGCTTCATGTTCATGTTGGTTCCCCTTTACCTTCAAATCCCATGGGAGTGACATGGAGCAGCCCAGATGAATGTTATCCTTCCACTGAGGAGTCCAACCACAGCTGTAACCTTTGCCCCAGAGGGAGACATTCTCTACAAAAACCCTTGAAATGATAGTCTGAAACAAAAAACTGTTAGTGTTTAGTGTCCCTGGTCAGAAGATATGCGGAGACCTGAGACCTGTGGAAAATGGTCTTATCAACATTACTGCTTTCTCCTTTCCCACTTTAAGTAAAAAAGAAATTTGTATGTTAATCTCAGTGGGGAGGAAGGAGATGGTATTTTTCAACTATTTAAAATATACTTTCGTGAGAAAAATCAGCAGTCTTATGTGGGTATAAATAACAAAAAATAATGTGCATTGCTCTCTCTCTTTTGAGAGGGTAAGAGGGAAAGAGCCTTGTCTGAGTGGTAGAAGGAAAAAAAATAATGTGCAAATGCAAGAAACTCAGTAATTTGTTCTTTTTGTGCCTGTTGAGAATGACTCTTTGTTAGACTATATTAAGAAAGCCTGATTTTTTTGGGGGGGGGTTGCTTTACAAACAGATGTAATTTATTCTTTTTTAAGTTTTATTTATTTTTTTATTGTTATTCTATTTCAGTTGTCCCAGTTTTTCCCCCATTGCCCTCCTGCACCAATCCCACGGTCACTCCCCACACTATTGTCCATTTCCATGGGTTGTTCATACATGTTCTTTGACTAGTCCCTCTCCCCTTTTTTCACCATTACCCCCTTCCCCATCCCCTCTGGCCTCTGTCAGTCTGTTCCATGTTTCCATGTCTCTGGTTCTATTTTGCTCTTTAGTTTATTTTGCTCATTAGATTTATAAGTGAGATTATATAGCATTTGTCTTCACTGACTGGCTTATTTCACTACTTGACCTAATAAGTGAATTTGGCAAAGTAATGGGATATAAAGTCACTATTCAGAAATTGATGGCATTTTTGTACACCAACAATGAACTATCAGAAAGAGAAACTAGGAAAAAAATCCCGTTTACTATAGCAACAAGAAAAAGAAAGTACTTAGGAATAAATTTAACCAAGGAGGTGAAAGACCTGTACTTGGAAAACTATAGAACACTGAAGAAAGAAATGGAGGAAGATACAAATAAATGGAAGCATATACTTTGTCCATGGATTGGAAGAATTAGCCTCTTTAAAATGTCTGTACCAATGGCATATTTCACTGATCTAGAACAAAGTGTGATTTTTAAATTGTTTTAATTCTTAAAAATGCAGTTGTTTAAATCTTCCACTTCTAAGTTCTTAAATATTTTATCCACATGTCAGCTAAGAAGATAGGGTAATGGTTTAACAGATTGTATAGTACTTTAAGAGAAACTTCATTATTTGAACCTCAAAACACTCCAATAAGTAAATATCCCAGTTTTACAGGTATAGAAATTGAGGCTTAAAAAATTGTGACTTGTGCAAGGTTATATGTTAGTGCCATAGTGATGGGCTATATACAGATCTTCAAAAAAATTAACCTGAAACTTTCATGTTTTTTTTTTTCCGATAACATGCTTTTTCATAACTGTTCGCAAACAATAGTCGTCTGTCTTCAATAGTTTGGACTTTAAAACACTTTTTGCGGGGTAGAAGTGTCTGTGTATGTAAGGTCATGTGCATGTACTAAATTACAGGTCAGCCAGAGTGTGCCTCAGTAAATTTTCCAATATGTAACTACATAGGCCTAAAGACCAATTTTCAAGCCTCTTTTTTTTAAAATTTTAAATAAAAGTATGTGACAGAATAGTAAGGAAAGGATCAAATATTTAAGCTGTTTTGAGATTGGTTGTATTTAATTTGGTGCACAGGGAAATTGGAAGGAGATAGAGGATTAACAGTGGAGGTGATAAGTTTTGTTTTGTACCTGATGAATGTTTTTTCAAAGATTTTATTTATTTATTTTTAGAGATGGAAAGGCATGCAGAAAGAAAGGGAGAAAAACATCAATGTGTGGTTGCCTCTTGTGCACCCCCTACTGGGGACCTGGCCTGAAACCCAGGCATGTGCCCCTTCTAGTAATTGAACTGTGGACCCTTTGCTTCACAGTCCACCGCTCAATCCACTGAGCCACACCAGCCAGGGCAGTACCTGATGAATTTTTTTAATGTTATTAATTTTCTGTGTCATTATTTTTAGGAAATAAGATTTTTGTTGGAATTCTCAATATTTATTTAAAACTTCCCTATGTTGGGCTTTTTAGTTGCTTGTATTTTGCTATAACAGACATTAGAGAAAGCATTTTTATATAAATCATTGTACTCATTTTCTAGTATTCTTTTTTTTAAAGATTTTATTTATTATTATTATTATTTTTTTTAATTTTTTATTTTATTTTTTTTAAATATTTTATTTATTTATTTTTAGAGAGGGGAGGGAGGGAGATAGAGAGAGAGAGAGAAACATCAATGTGCGGTTGCTGGGGGTTATGGCCTGCAACCCAGGAATGTACCCTGGCTGGGAATCGAACCTGGGACACTTTGGTTCCCAGCCCGCGCTCAATCCACTGAGCTACGCCAGCCAGGGCTTATTTATTATTTTTAGAAAGGGGGGAAGAGGGGAGAAAGAGAGGGAGAGAAATATTGATTGGTTGCCTCTCAGGCATCCCCAACTATGCAACCGGGACCTGCCCCACAACCCAGGTATGTGCCTTGGCCAAGAGTTCAATGGGCTGCCATCCAAGCCATACCAGTCAGGGCTTTTTTTCTACTATTCTTTAGGATAAATTTCTAAAAGTAAAATTAAGTTAAAAGATAGAAACTTTCTTTGGTCTGTCTGTACATGATGCCAATTTGCTTTCTTAAAAGACGATCAATTTTTACCTAATGTATAAGCCTGCCCACCTCTCCATATACACAACAGAACTGAATGTTATCTTTTAAAAAACCTCTTTGCTAATTTGATAGCTGGAAAATGTTAACACATTTAAAGTTGCATGTTTTTAATTACTGGTAAGTTTAACTGTTTGAATTTTGTGACATTTTTGTTTACATTTACTCATTTTTTTTCACAAATTTATATGTATTCATGACCTCAAGCTGTTGACTTTTTGTAATCAAATGTGTTTAAGATTCTGGAGTCATCAGTGTAGAGTTAATAGATGAAAACAGATAAGCTATCAGTGGCAAAGAACTGTAGAGTACAGAACATAGAATAGAACTCAATCCTGAAAAAACCTAACCTGAGGGAGCACATAAAAAGCCAGCAAAGTAAGCAGAAAATGTTGGGTTAGAACAAGAAAAGAGAGGACTGGATACTTTCCCTACTCTTAAATTAATCCTTCCTTACTTGATTATGAAATCCTCTGTTTTCTCGTATAATTTAGTTAAGTAACTCACTGTTACTCAGTAAAAATTGTTATTTGATTTAAAATATGTGTGTATGTATATCGTCTCAGATAAGGTGGTTGTAGGAACTGTCTTACAAATGTTAGTTTCTGTTCATCTTTCAAAGCTTTATGCTGATGTTATTATAATGTTATTTGGGAATTATGGCCTTAGTTTTATGTTTATTTTTATACAGGTTCTGGACAGGCAAATCAGGGATATAGGCATAACCTTATATTAATTCAGAGATTAACCCTGAAACAATTTGGGAGAAATTGAATAAAAGTATAACAACATAAAATGTCATATCATCACTTGATATGTGTTGCATTTTAAAAAAATTATCATATATCTCTGACACAAAAAATATAATGAACACTGTGTATCCACTTGATGCCTAAGAGAGAAACAAAACCTAAATGGTTGAAGCCCCCTGTGTACCACTAGTCAATTGAATGCTCTCCTTCTACATTATCCTAATGCTGATACTTATTACTCCCATATTTTATTATATCTACCATTCTGTGCCTGGGCCTTGTTTTGTTAGTTAAAGCGAATGCTCTATGTAAACTTACTTCTTTAGCTGAAATACTATTTAGACCTAGGCAACTGATAAATATATGATTGTGTTGTATCACTTTATTTCTGTTATGTTTGGCTTCTTTTTGAATTCAACTCTTCTCCAGTTCCATGCTTGGTTTAATCCAGTGTTCTACCATCTGTTATTAATACACCTCTGAAATCAGAGGATTTCTGAACAATAAATGAATTACTTTTCTGTGGGGATGGGGAGTGGAGAAGGTAGAAATGATGGAAGGAGCAACAGAGCAAAGAGGAATGAAATGCAACGGAGAGGGTGATCAAATGGATTTCTTCCAAAACAATTGAGTATGGTCAGTCTGCATAGCATCCATCATAAGCAGCATTCTGAAACTGTTTGTATGGCAGAAGTTTCTGAACTAAGTAAAGAAAAAGGAAGATAAAGTAGACTGTGACTCATTTGCACAAAATGAAAACATGTTTATGGATGTCCACACTAAATGAAAGCTGGCATCCAACTTGATTCAGACAAAAGTGAAAAGCCAGTAAGTTAATGATATGTTAACTCTTACAAATGTATTCCAGTGGAGTGTTGTAGAAAGAATACAGAACTCAAGATCTGGTTTTGATCCTGGTTCTTCCACTTACTCTTATATGTGACCTTAGGCAAGTTAGTAACCTTACCTTTGGGTCTCCATTTTTTTATACCTCTCTAAAAATAAAATGGGTGCGGTGTAGGTTGGTAGACCATGTCTCTTAAGATCTTTTACTTCTATAAATTGATTCTATTGTTTTTAGTTATGAATCTTAAAGTATTACCATAGGAAAAATTTCTTAAGGCTTGTGATTTACTAAATCATCTTAAAATTTTAGGGAAGACATACAAGGAATTTGCATAAGACAGCTGTGCAAAATGGAGCTGGAGGAGCCTTATTTGTGGTAAGTTACTAGATTTCTTCACAATGAAAAGACTTGAAAATTTGGGTAAATCTGTTGTAATAATCCAAAGTATCTTAAATAGCCATGTCTTTGGTATATCCTGGCCATAGTGGGAATTTAAATATAGCTAATTGTAAATTCACTACTTTTCAAAAGATGTGTGGCTCCAGCTGCACCTCTCAAGTTTAAGTTGGTACCAGGGCAACTCTGGGAATAAGAATTTAGATTATTTGGTGAAATTACTGTGAGTGAGCCCTAACCTGTTTTCACACTTTGAGTTCTTAAAGCTTAGACCTTGGTTCACTGAAGATTCTGAGGCTGCAACTTGGGGAATCCCAAAATGGCACTAGTTAGAAACTTAGAGATTTTAGTAGTAGAGAGAATATACTGGCAGTCAGCCTTTGTATTTTTGGTTTCCAGGGTTTAACTATAGGTAAAGGTCAATGACCTCCCCTCCTTAGTTGTACAATTCAGAAAGGAAAAGATAATTTAGCCCCCTTCTCTGACAAAGATACAGTTTTCAGGTGTTACTCTCATATTGTTTAACGGTGGTTTACTGGACTTGTGTGATTTAGAGTTAGTGGTATAGTTTTGTAAACTGAATTATTTCCAGGGTCAGTCCTAATTGGCATACTATTGATAATTAAATTCCTGCTTTATATTTTATCATCTTTGTCTAAAAACATTAAGTATGCAATGTTTGAGATCATTGTCCAAAGTTTTCATTTTTCCTCTTCTATGTCCTTGAAGAGAAACTGAGTGTTAACATTAAGAGATTCAGTTGTGTTCACCTTACATACAAAACATTAATCATTGTAAGTGTTCATCTCATTGTGACTCATAAGATTTCCTGTTGATGTGCCATTTCTTGTGAGTTTTTAAAGAGGGCTTGATCTTTTATGGAGAAAAAATAAAGCTTCTTACTGTTGGCTAGTTTCTGTTATGGAAAACTAGCTATTGACTAGTTTCTATTACATGGGGAAGAGATGGTGTTTTTGCACCTTACCTAAGGTAGTGAGTCCCTTTGACAATTTGATACCCTCTCTTGGAAAAATGCACATATGTTCACACTCAAAATTCTGTCTTTATAAGGCTTCCAATAATTCGTAATGTTTTGGTAATTACATTAGAAGACCTTATTCTCTAATTAAATTGGATAACTGTTTGTTTTTTTTTTGGTCCTAAAGCTACTTCTCTTAAACATTAAATAGTGATTTCTAAAATTTTCTAAAATTTTGGATTCTGCTAACATTACTTTGGTAATCATATTCATTACATGTGTATTTAATAGTTGGTTTAGTCATTCTTTTAAAAAAATTTTTATTTATTTTTATGTTTTACAATGGTTCCAATTATTTCCCCCTTCAATCCCTCTGCCCAGCCCACCCCCTACTTCCATAGTCAGTCTCCACCCCATTGTCCATGTCCATGGGTCCTTCATATATGTTCCTTGACTAATCCCTTCACCTTCTTTCAAACAGTGCCCTCTCCCCTCTCCTCTCTTACTGCTGTCAGCCTATTGTGATTCTATGCCTCTGGTTCTATTTTGTTTACTCAGTTATTTTATTCATTAGATTGTTCTTATAAGTGATATCATGTGCTATTTGTCTTTCTCTGACTGCCTTAGACATTCTTTTTGGTACAGGGATAGATAGATTTGTATCTGTTGAAAATAAAGTGAAGAGATTAAATAATCAGTAATAGTAATGTGCAAAGTTATTCACACTTTTGAGGAATTTTAATAATTTTGAAATTTTTTTTCTTTTGATTAGCACAGAGATACTCCTGAGAATAACCCAGATACTCCATTTGATTTCACACCAGAAAACTATAAGGTATGATGAAATTAACATTATAATTAATATACAAAATATTTAGTATCTTCAGGTATATAAAAACAGGTGCTTTTTCTTTGATACAGAGAATAGAAGCAATTGTAAAAAACTATCCGGAAGGGCATAAAGCAGCAGCTGTGCTTCCAGTCCTGGATATAGCTCAAAGGCAGAATGGATGGCTGCCCATCTCTGCTATGAACAAGGTACTGACTTTATTGTTGCCTTCGATCAAAAGAGGTGAGATTGTGGATAGTAACTTCCTTGTATAGAAATGTCTCTGACAGTCATTAATGTCAAAATATAAGAGTTTGAAGACCTTTAATCATTTATATATTTCCCCAAATTATATTTGTGTTTTTGTTGGTTCCCTTAGTAATGCTGAGAACTGAAAAGGTAGAGTTTTTATTCTTATTTTTTATTGTTTATTCTATCACAGATATCCCATTTTCCCCCTTCACTTTCCCTGACCCAGCCCACCCCCACTTCCATAGTCTATCCCCATACCGTTGTCCATGTCCATGGGTCCTTTATGTAAGTTCTTTGGTTAATCCCTTCACTTCTTTCCATCAGTCCCTACTTTTCCCCACCCCTCTTATAGCTGTTAGTCTATTCCATGTTTCCATGCCTCTGGTTCTGTTTTGCACATTAGTTTATTTTGTTCATTATATTCCTTTTCTGAGTGAGATCATATAATATTTGTCTTTCACCAGCTGACTTATTTCACTTAGCACAGTAGTCTCCAGTTCCATCCATGTTATTGCAAAAGGCAGGAGTTCCTTCTTTTTTTTTTTTTTTTTTTTTGCTGCATAATATTCTATTATGTAAATGTACCACAAGTTTTTTGGTCCACTAATCTGCTGATGGGCACTTAGGCTATTTCCAAATCTTGGCTATTGTAAATTGTGCTACTGTGAACATAGGGGTGCAAAAATTCTTTTGACTTGGTGTTTTGGGAGCCTTAAGATATATTCCCAGCAGTGGAATCGCTGGGTCAGAAGGCGGTTCCATTTTTAATTTTTTGAGGAAATTGCCTACTGTTTTCCACAGTGCCTGCACCAGTCTGCATTCCCACCAACAGGGCACTAACAGTGGAGAACGGGTTCCCTTTTCTCCACATCCTCACCAGCCCTTGATTATTAATGATGGTCATTCTGACAGGTGTGAGGTGATACCTTATTGTAGTTTTAATTTGCATCTCTGATGGCTAGTGATGTTGAGCATCTTTTCATATGTCTATGGGCCATCTGATGTCCTCCTAGGAGAAGTGTCTATTCAGGTCCTTTGCCTTTTTTTAATTGGATTGTTTCTTCCTGGTGTTTAGTCATATGAGTTCTTTATATATTTTGGAGATTAAGCCCTCGTCTGATACATTGTTGGCAAATATGTTCTTCCATACAGTCATTCCTTTTCATTTGTTTATGGTTTCTTTAGCCATGTAGAAGCTTTTTAATTTTGACGTAGTCCCCTTTGTTTATTTTTTCCCTTATATCCCTTGCCCTAGGAGATATATTGGCAAAAATACTGCATTGTGAGATAATATGGAATTTTACTGTATGTGTTTTCCACTAGGATTTTTATGGCATCCTGACTTATATTTAAATCCTTTATCCATTTTGAGTTTATTTTGGTGTATGGTATAAGTTGGTGGTTCATTTTCATTTTTTTGCATGTACTAGTCCAGTCTCTGAAAATGTAAAACATGGTATATTACACTTGAGTGTGGCACCTTGGAATCAACAACCTACAGAAGTGCTATGGATGATTAATTTAAGTTAGTCTAGTCATATTTAAAATGCATTTTTTAGTCATATTTTCAGCACTATTCCAATATCAAGTTTACTCATTCTATTAATATAACTACAGTTGTGTGGTACTATGTTACAGTGTATACATTATTTACAAAGTACTATACAAAACTGTATATTATCTGATTCTTATGAGAGTCAAAAAACTAATAAACCAATGTGATATAATGGAAAACATATTTGACTTTGAGCTAAGAAGTCTTGATTTTTCTCTGGACATACTTCCTCATCTGCAGTGAAAATCTTTTCCAAATGTTACATTACAATTTCTAACTGATAAGAGCTAGGAACTATTTTCAATGCAACATGGTTTCTACTTGACTGACTCTGCAGAGCTTGTGTTCTACTTCATTCTTCTTTTTTACTTTCTAAATTTTATTTGGTCTATTAGGGTAGACCACTATCATCTTTCTTGGAGAATAGGAATGTCCTCGATTTATCTAATAGAATCTCAAATGCAGATTTTAGATTTAGTTCACTGATCTCTTACTTGCTTTGTACAGTACCCTAATACTGTTGTGAACCCCTAGTATTTTTTCAACTATGAAAAAGTGTTATAAAGCAAGCTTGGTTAGCACTATACTTAGTAAACATAGACAGGTGTTTTTTTTTTAAATAAATCACATTTCTTTGGGGTTACACATTGTTTTCCATATAACAGTAGCCAACTTTCTAAATAATTATTGTGGTATTTTTTAAATTATAGATACTTTTTGCAAAAACATGTTTTTAATAATGACAGACTTTTTGGAAGTCTTGCTGAGAGGTAAGTTTAGCAGAGCAAAATAAAATAAATGAGAAACTAATATGAGAACATTTAAAAAATATTGTCCTGTTCTATTTTGAATTGGATGTTTATGCGTGAAAAGCAGGAAATAGCATATACGGAATGCAATCAAGATTCTTTCCGCTTTACATTTGAGACTTAATGTTACTGTCTCTTTGAGAGACAGTAACATTAGAAAAGCCCAACCTTACAATAAGCAAAATCCAGAAACTCATATATTAGTTCCTTAAGCATTACTATGGTTCAAAGCCTTACTTCCAGTGGTAGGGCTCCAGTATGTATATTTTCAGGTTCCAGCAGGTATATTTTGAGACAGCTTCCCAGATTTAGAAGTACATACCTAGTTTAGTAGCACCAAATAAATCACAGGTGAGCTGTGATTAAATGTTTTGAGAATACTTTTCCTTTAGAATCCCTCATATGAGAAAGTTCAACATATATGCCATCTAAAATGTCATTTAGTGAGCTCTTCTTTTATGTCAAAACAAGGATACATATGTTATTTTTAAGAATGCCAGATGGCAGCCCTGCTTGGTGTGGCTCAGTGGATTGAGTGCCGACTTGGGAACCAAATGGTTGCTGGTTTGGTTCCTAGTCAAGGCACATGCCTGGGTTGCAGGCCAGGCCCCCACTTGGGGGCATGCAAGAGGCAACTGATCACTGTTTCTCTCCCTGTCTTTCTCTCTCCCTTCCCCTCTTTCTAAAAACAAATAAATAAAATCTTTAAAATATATTTGAAAAAAAAAAGAATGCCAGACAGCAAATCCGAAGACTTGATAGATTAGTAATATTAGATCACTGAGAAAGTTGTAGCCAGGATTAGTCATGATAGACTGTGTGTGGACCAGACCTAACTGCTAAAAAATGCCTTGTACACTAACAGACTTGCCCTGCCCGAGAGAGTTGTGCTTAGATAGTGAGTCCCTTGGTCCTGAATACCTCACACCCCCACATCCCCTGCCCAATATATCAAAACAAGTATTTTCTGTAAATACCTTGATGTGAAAGGTTGGGAAGTACTACTAGTCTGTAAGATTCATAGGAAATAGTAATGCGTGGATTGTACAGGAGAGGCATGTGTGTGTAGATATGTAAACCAATAGTGGCTAGTAGGTAAGCCTTTATTCTCAACTGTTTTTCTATTGCCATACCATTTACATACATTTTACATCACCAGTAACATCAAGGTTTTTTTGAAAAATTGGTGAAAGGTTGAAAAACAATGTTTTAGAGTTTGGTCACCAAGTTTTTGCCATTTAGAAATTTTAAATTACAAAATAATGAGTTGAAATTATCAAAATAGAAATTCTTTTTTTTAAAGATTTATTTATTTATTTTTTAGAGAGGGAAGGGAGGGGGGAGAGAGAAAGAGAGGGGGGAGAGAAAGAGAGGGAGGGAGGGAGGGAGGGAGGGAGAGGGAGAGAGGGGGAGAGGGAGAGAGGGAGAAACATCAATGTGGGGTTGCTGGGGGCCGCGGCCTGCAAACCAGGCATGTGCCCTGGTTGGGAATCGAACCTGCAACACTTTGGTTCGCAGCCCGCACTCAATCCACTGAGCTATGCCAGCCAGGGCAAAATAGAAATTCTTAATAGTGAAAGATTTAAAGATTTGGAGGAAAAGGATTGTTTTGCAGAGATGAGGACTGGGGTCACCATTAGCCTCTGGGCTCTGTATAGTTTTTTTTTTGTTTTTTTTTAAGTGTAAGGTGTCTGCAAAAATTAAAGGATTTATACTTTGCACATTCCACGTACAGGTATATTTTCTGCTTTTGAAGAACTTTTCTGTTTTTACCATATTTAAGCAATACTGAAATATGCATTTTACAACATACCTAAAGCTCAATTATTAAACCTTATAATTAGTTATTTAAAAATTTCCTAATATTTTTAGGTTGCAGAAGTTTTACAAGTACCTCCAATGAGAGTCTATGAAGTGGCAACTTTTTATACAATGTATAATCGAAAGCCAGTTGGAAAGTATCACATTCAGGTCTGCACTACTACACCTTGCATGCTTCGAAACTCAGACAGCATACTGGAAGCCATTCAGAAAAAGCTTGGTATGGGATGCATTATATTTATAAACTTTTATGAAAATTATAATTGTCTTTCTAGAGTTGACCTATTTCTACCTGACTTTTCCAACTTTTGTTATCTTACTGGATCTGTACTTCATGAGTAAACTTTTGTCATCCTGTTTATCTACCTTTATTTCTTCATAAATAAAGGTTTTCAGCCTCAAGCTGAATTTTCACCTTTTCTTTTGTAATCATTAAGTATGCTGGAAAAGCTTGTAGGAATTTTAAAGTTCTCATTGTTTAGGAAATTAAGTTTCATTGTGATAGCATGTGCTATGTAAAAAAGTGACTATATTGTCCTTTTGTTCTTTCATACTAGCCTTGGGACAAATTGAATATGAGAATAGTAAGAATACTTCAGGAAGGAAAGTTTGAAATGGGATTTTATTTTTTTCTACATAAAACTTCCATTGTTGCACTTATATGTAGCAAATAAAGTAAAATGTTTTTTAAAAAATATTTCTGTTACTAAATATAATGTGAAGTACTTGCATGTTGTAAATATAGTTGGGGAGTATTGAAGTATGTAAAACAGAAACCTGAAGACTATAAACCATAATCCCCCCCCCAAGATAAAATTCTGATAAAAGTTGAGTATATTAATTTTAGATTTTATATTGTTTAGGTTTTTCATTATTAAATACATAAATGTAATATGCCTGAATTTGCTTTTGCACCTTGACTACAGTGTAATATGTATGTTTCATTTTTCTATTATAACAAGTTATTCTGCAGTTTTGTGTATACTTATCTTTGAATACTTATCCTATTATATAATGAGATTGTTTATAGGAAGTAGAATTGCTGTGTCAGATTTTACTTTCTTTTGCCAAAATGCCTTCCCTTAAGATATCAGAGTAATTGTTTTCTTCACATTCTTAATGATTGACATTAGCAGTGTTCTGAGCCTTTGTCAGTCTGATAGTATAAATGATTTTAGTAGGTTGTTCATTATCACAGTCAAAATGAAAATTGTGCAGTCTGATATACAACATACCCTGGAGAGGAGTAGGAGTCCCCTGAAATTTGATTGTTTTTAAAGGAATGAGTTCACTTAAGAAATCCTTGAATGTTCTAGTAAAATTATACAGGGTTGTTTTCTTTAAGAAATTAAGTGCTCATAAATGTTTTTTGTATACCACCATAATATGTTGTTGGTTTGTTTTCTTTTTTCTTTTTAAAATCATATTGCTATTAAAATATAATCTGGTCCTTACACTGATCATTTATATTTTTAGGAATAAAGGTTGGGGAGACTACACCTGACAAACTTTTCACTGTTATAGAGGTGGAATGTTTAGGGGCCTGTGTAAATGCACCAATGGTTCAAATAAATGACAACTACTATGTGAGTATTTCACTAAATATAAATTAAAGTTGTATGATGTCATATTTAAAATACTTGTTTTCCCATCCTGTAAATGTTGGTTTGTGAATTACTCATTTAGAAGAAACTGTTGACATAAATACCCAGAGGCTTTTTTGTTTTTGTTTTTGTTTCTTGGTATTCTGTTCTTTGATTTTCAAAAATCAAAGAATATAAAACCTTTCATAAAAATATGCCAATTTTAAAGATTTTAGTTCTTTATTTTTATAGAGAGGGGAAGGGAGGGAGGGAAAAAGAGAGGGAGAGCTACATTGATGTGCGAGAGAAACATCATTTGGTTGCTCTCTCACAACCCCCAACCAGCAACCTGGCCTGCAACCGAGGCATGTGCCTTGACTGGGAATCAAACCTGCAATCTTTTAATTCATAGGCTGTCGTTCAAACCAATGCGTCATACCAGCCTGGGGAAAATATGCCAGTTTTAGCTTCTACAGAATTGTCCACCAGATGGCTTTGAAAAATTTATTTTTAAAAATTTTTGCATTTAGCCCTAGGAGATGATATATTTGTAAAACTTTTAAATTATGAAAAATTTAGTAATTGACATATATTAGATTGGCCAAAAAGTCTGTACAGTTTTTCTGTAAAATAAAACACATTCTTCATTTCACCAATAACTTTATTCATTTGTGTATTTTGAGTATGTCTCCTATCTCCTACATGTGTAATGTTGATTGTTAATTAATGTCTTGATTTAATAGCTATCAACTTCAGCTGGTTTACCCACCTGTGGAGCATTGTCCAGTGAAAAATCTCTAGCATGAAACTCCACAAACCACTTCTGACAGTATTTAATCAGTCACGGCGCCTTCTCCATATGCCACACAAATCTTTTTTTGCGTTTCAGTTGCATTTTTGCCTTTCTTGAAATAATAAAGCATAATATGCTGAAAATGTTGCATATGTTCTTTAGTTTTCAACATTAAAATGGCTACATGATAATTTACCTGTTTTTTTCTTTAAGTGCATGCCAATATGACAGCTGTCACAATACAACCTAACAAAATTGTTTTGAATGAAGTTCAAGACAACTAAGTACTAACTAGAGCCACCTTACAGAAAAAACAATCTTTTTGGCCACACCAATAAATACAGAAAAGAACCACCAGGACTTAACAGATAATAACATTTTCCACACTTCAGTAAATTATTTTTATTCTTATTTTTATTTGTAGAGATAAGCGATAGATGCAAGTAAACTGTTCTCATTTCTACCCAAAGGCCAATTATTTCTATTCATTCCAAGAGGTTCATTCCACTATTCATTCCACTATCATATATTTAGTGTATATTCTTCCTTTACATGTTTTTCAACTTTTTACATATATGTATACAGCCATACTAACATGTAATTCTATATTAGTTTTTCTGACAATTTTACAGAGATAGTATCATACCTCTTTTTCAGTACTGTTTTAGCCAGATACCACAAGTTTCTTTTTATTTTATTTTATTTTTTTAAATCCTCACCCGAAGATATGTTTACTGATTTGGGAGGTGTTGGGGGGAGAGAGACAGAGAGACAGAGAGACAGAGACAGAAACATCAGTTGGGTACCCACAACCTGGGTATGTGCCCCAACTGGGAATCGAACCCACAACCTTCTGGTTTTGGGGATGATGCTCCAACGAACTGAGCCACTTAGCCAGGGCCATTTTTCATAAGTTTTGGTAAGTAATAGTTTCAACATTTAGTTCTAAATATTTTTAAATTTGCATTTTGACCTTAGACATAATACCCATAATACCCAAGTGTGTAGTCTATTTATCTCTTTTTTTAATTGCCTCCTAGTCTAATGATATCATGGTTTTTATTTATATCTTGTTAGCTCATACTTCTTAAAAATTTGTTTGTGGAAATTCTTTGAGGCTAGTATTAAAGGTGTATTCTTCAAAAAGAGATTTGCTTTGCTACTGTCTAGAAGTCCTGGAAATGCTACTGACCCAAAAGAGAGTCCCTCATACCTTCCCCTTAGCCCCACAAATGTTGTAAAGTTCTAGGCTAGCAGTTTTTTAAGGGATGGTTTAATTTCTAGTTACCAGCTTTTTGGGGTTTTAACTTCATGTGGTTTGCATGTCTTTTGTGACCTGGGGCTTTGTCCCTTGCCACTCTAGACCAGCAATTTTCAACCTTTTTCATCTCATGGCACACAAGCTAATTACTAAAAATTCTGCAGCACAACAAAAATTATATTTTTTACCGAGCTGACAAAAAAATTTAAAAAGGTATATATTTTTTAAATCCTCACTTGAGGATATGTTTTTATTTATTTGAGAGAGAGAGAGAGAGAGAGAGAGAGAGAGAGAGAGAAACATTGATCAGTTGTCTCCCATACACACCCCAACTGTGGATCAAACCCTCAATCTAGGTCTGTGCCCTGACTAGAAATCAAACCTACAACCTTTTGGTGTACAGGATGATGTTCCAACTGAGCATCTGGCCAGGGAGTTATAATTTTGATTCATTCACACTAGACAGCTGTTGTATTGGCTGTTGTCATTTTTTTATTTGACAATTTAAGGGAAAAGAGGCCAGTGTCCCTGATTAAATAGGCAGTTATGCATGTTTTAAAAATTCTTGTAGCATACCAGTTGAAAATCACTGTTCTAGACTATGAAACCCTAAAGCTAAGTTTGCTTGGTGTTCCACTTCTCTACTTGGGTTTTCTTTGAGTTTTTGGTTTCTGGGTATTTCTTTTTGCCAGTATATTGATGAAATTTAAAAGCATTTGCAGTTGTTACAACAGGAAGTTCAATCAGGATAGCTATTTTGCCATAATGCCTGAAATGGATATCTATAACTTTTTTTAATGAAGGTGAAATTTGATTTCTTTGGCCTTTTAGATTTCTAGGGTGTTTTCATTTCCTGTAGTGATTTTCTTTATTTTAATGATCAGTAATTTAAATTTTTTGTCTATTTCCCATGCTTTAAAAAAAAGCCCTTTAAACATAAGGCAACAACTGTACCTTTTCTTATAGTTCTGCAATTTATTCATAATAATGAGGATCTTGATTTAAGGAGGAATTAGACAGTCAAAACTTTATATGAAGTGATATAAAGCTAAATATGGTAGCCCATGGATTCCAAGAGCTAAGATTCTTCCAGTTAGTAGTGGTATAGTCTTTGGCAAGGCAGTTATTTTTATGTATCTCAATTCAGTGGAAAAATGCAGCAGTCATACAAACTTTGATTGGATCCTACTTGGGGGAGAAAACAGTTACCACATTTTGAGGATGGTTAGATAGAATTGAGTATGGACTTGACATTTGATTTTTATTAAGGAATTATTATTAGTTAATTAGGTGTGGTAATGGCATTGCTATTTAAGAAAAATTTTTTATTCTTAGGAGATGGCCACCAGAAGTACTAGGGGTGCAGTATTATGTCTACAACTTGCTTTCAAATGGTGCAACACAAAAAAGAGCATATGGGTACATAATGTAAATAGGGCAATTTAAAAATTGTTCAGTCTGGGTAGGAATATGGTTACTCATGTTAGCTTTATAAGTTCTCATAATAAAGATTTGGGGGGAGGCATAAAGTCATTACATGAGTTTAAAGATTTATTCTAGCTATGAAGTTCTGAACATCTGTTAAACCATTAAGTTTCAAAGCAACTTTTTCTTTTCATAAACGTTTAATTCAACCAATATTAAAGCTTTTATGTGATCAGGTACTGGAGATACAGTATTGAATCATGATTTCCCTAGCATAGTACTAGGGTACTACAAAACATTTTGTTAAATACTTAACAGTTTTGAAGGGAGAGAGGGGATATAATGTAGTTTAGGCATTTTTCTCTTAGTTTAATTTTGCCATTCTGTTTTGACTGTCTTTTGATTAAACTTGGGTTGTAGCAGCTAGGCATACAAGTACAAATATTTCAGTTGTATTTGTTATTTAAAATAACAGAACCCTTTCTTGAGTTAAAAATTTTACACAGGGGCCTGGCTGGCGTAGCTCAGTGGATTGAGCACAGGCTGTGAACCAAGCATCGCAGGTTCGATTTCCAGTCAGGGCACATGCCTGGGTTGCAGGCCATGGCCCCCAGCAACCGCACATTGATGTTTCTCTCTCTCTCTCTCTCTATCTCTATCTCTATCTCTATCTCCCTCCCTTCCCTTTCTAAAAATAAATAAATAAAATCTTTAAAAAAATTTTTACACAGGTGCAGTATATAAAATATAGAGCAGTTTTAGTTGAAATGGAGTTTGGAGGGTTAGGGTCATCAAAATAAATGTGTCAAAAATAAGGGTTTGTTTTTTTTTTAACTTTCTCTTTGAAAATTAAGTGAATTTTGAAACTGAATTTCACCTGGGAAAGAAAGAAGATATCACTGGGATAGTAGATATTTAGGTCATATACTTTTAAGTTACTATGCTTGCTGGTTCTAATTACTATTTGCCATCTCAGTGTTTCTTCAGTGGCATAGCATTTGTTGAGCATCTGCCATGGCACTGTTCTGTTTTATATATTTTCTCATTGAATTCTCAAGTATGTTTACAATTGAAGAAGGACTTGGGAGGCTGAGTAACTTGTCTAATATTACTAACTAGTAAGTGATGGAGTGAGGACTGAAATACAGAACTATCATACTTCAAAGCACTAGTCTGTATTGCCTCTTCTGCAGCAGCTCTTATTGCATATTGCATTTAGCAGTATGTACTATATGATATATAGAAGTTATTTAGTTGCTCCTACCTTGATAACTAACTTGTAAATTGAGAGAGACAAACAATAAACTAAGTGATGTTAGGGATTTATACAGCTTTCAGTAGTAGAAAATAATTCTAATATTTTTTTGTAGGAGGATCTGACACCTAAGGATATTGAAGAAATTATTGATGAGCTCAAGGCTGGCAAAACTCCAAAACCTGGGCCAAGGTATGCTTTTATTTTTATATAATAAATTTTAAAGCTTTAGCCTGAATGACTCTTTCACATAAACTTAGTTTCTAAAACTTTATACTCCTACCCTTACTGGTGTGGCCCAGTTGACTGGGCTTCATCTCATAAAGCCAAATGTTGCCAGTTCCATTCCTAGTCAGGACACATGCCTAGTTGCAGGTTCGGTGCCCCGTAGGTGCACGTAGGAGAGGCAACTGGTCAATGTTTCTCTTTTACATCTGTGTTTCTCTCCCTCGCTCTCTCCTTCCCTTCCCCTCTTTCTAAAAATAAATAAATCTTAAAAAGAAAACAATAAAACTTCATATCCCACGTTCACAAAAGTTGTTAGGAACTTTGGATAGTATCTATACCAACCCATCATCTAAAGTAAGAATTTTTTTCCTCCTCTAAAACCCTATCAGATAGTCATCTAGTATCTACTTGAATGTTTATAGAGAAGGGAAATTTACTACAAAGAAATCTAATTTATTATTTAAAAGTTCACATTGCCAAAAGATTGACTCCAAGTCTGTCTCCTAATATCTAACGGTCCTATTTTACCTTTTGAATTAACAGAAGGTAAATTGTATGTGTATTTATGTTTAATATGTATAAAAATCATTATATTTATGTTGTTTACTCAACTGGGTGTTACTAATATTTGTGGGGTTTTTAATATATTTTATTGATTATGCTATTATAGTCGTCCCATCCCCTCACCTTTAATCCCCTCTGCCCTGCACAGCCCCTCCCACCTGCATTCCCCGAGCCCTTAGTTCATGTCCATGGGTCATACATATAAGTTCTTTGGCTTCTCCATTTCCTATACTATTCTTAACCTTCCCCTGTCTATTTTGTATCTGCCATCTATGCTACTTATTCCCTGTAGAAGGTAATTTTTATACATCTTCCACATGACAGATGGCTCTTTAGTCACTTAAAATAGCTATCTTGTCTTCCCCATATCCTTTTCTCAGATTTAATATCCACAGTTGTTTCATTGTTTTTCCTTGTATTAGAGAGTTTGGTCTCTCTCCTCTCAGGTTTTTCTAGTTGACTAGTGACGTTCTTAATGTGATACAAAGTAATTACATGGTTTGTTTGATACACACACACACACACACACACACACATGCGCGCGTGCGCACGCCATATGCCAAACAGTATGCAGAGCATTATAGGACTGTCTCCTTTTTCCAGACATTATGCTTGTAATAATGAAGCCTAATTACATCAACTCTGGCCTCAGATATATTACACCATTAATTGCATGTATAATCAGTTATGCATAGATCTTTTTCAACTTAAGCACAGTTTACCTAGTTTGCTCCTATCCTGCGTTTGTGTTATACTAATTACCAGTACTTTTCTTTCAATTATGAACCTGAGCCTTTGCTGCTAAATAAACCTCTATTCCATATCTATTTGTTCACATCACTTCTTAATACTAGTAAATATTAGTATGGTTAATACAGTTGTAATCCTTTTGTAAGTATTTCTTTCTGCTTATATTATAAAATTTCTTTCATTCAACATATTTGTAGGTTTTAATGTCCATATAGTATTCTAATGTATTGAAAGATCTGTGATATGTGTGTGTGTTTTAAGATTTTATTTATTTATTTTTAGAGAGAGGGGAAAGGAGAGAGAGAAAGAGAGGAAGAGAAGTATTGATGTTTGAAAGAAACATCAATCAGTTGCCTTTTGCATGCCCTAAACTGGGGACCTGGCCCACAACTCAAGCTTGTGTCCTGACTGGGAATAGAACCAGCAACCTTTCAGTTCATAGGCCAGCACTCAATCCACTGAGCCACAGCAGCCAAGGCTGATATGTTCTTTATTCCCGTTTTAAAATGTATTTTCCTACTTTTTGTTACAAATAACAAAAAACCCTGCAGTTGGATTGCTAAGTCAGAGGGAATGACTGGTTCTATAATCTGTACTCTAGAAGTACTAACTTGTTCCGGCAGACTAATAACCCTACCTAATAAGAAAAAGAGGTCAGTTCAGGATAACTTAAGTTTAGTAAAGGCAAGCTGGCCCCTATTGACTATTCTATTCTATTCTAAGAAACATATACTTCTTTTAACATTCAAATTGAATTTATTTAAATTGGTTTGGAATTTTCTTCCAAGTTCTTCACTTTCTTGGGCTATGCTTATGTTTTTTGGGGTAAAACATTTCTATGTGAAGAATCATTCTCCGTTTTGGAGGCTACCAAAGTGAATCCCTTTGAACATTACAGTATCTTTCTTAGCCACTGGTCCTGTCTCTTACCCCTGCTTCAAAAGCAGCTATCTTACCCTCCCCCCAAAACCCCCAGAAAAGTCTGTATCTTCCACAAACTTCAGCTTGTTTTTAGGACTCAGATGTTATGCTGCGCTTGTATTTATACTCAAATCTATAACTTCTTTCAACTTTGGGGTACTTTTTTTGATCAATTGATTTTTTTTAGAGAGAGAGAATGAGAGAGAGAGAAAAACATCGGTTTGTTGTTCCACTTATTTATGCATTCATTGGTTGATTCTTGTATGTGCCCTGACCAGGGATCAAATCCGCAACCTTGGTGTATTGGGATGACACTCCAACCAATTCAGCTACCCAGTCAGGACTGGGTACTTTGTTTTAATATGTGAAGTGCAGATTTCTTCATAAAATCTACTTGGTTTCTTTAGATGTTACCTTTTCTTGGTGTTTATAATTCTGTAGTCATAATTTTGCTTCTTAGAACCTTCTTCCCTTCTACCAATTACAGTGTTAATCCAACATTAATATTCTGTCCCACATTGCTTCTTTGTCTGCTTTGTTCCATGTCCTCACTGTTCATTTATTTCACAAACATTTCTGGGTGCATGCTCCATGCCAGGCACTATTTTAGGTTCTGCATGTAATTATAAACAAGGTAAAATGGTCAGATATTTTATATTCTAATAATGGAGATAGACAGCTAATATAATATCTGAGTATTAATGCTAAGACAAAGCAGAATTAGGGGTTCAAGAATGATTGGGGGCAAATTTAGTCAGGAGGGGTCTCTCTGTGGTGGTGACATTTGAGCCATGACCTGAATGATAAACCCAAAGAAACCATGTAAAGAATTGGAGTAACAATGTCCCAGGAAAGGGGAAGAAGATGGAGTAAGTCCCTGGAGGAAACACAAGATGACAATATGGTTGCAGTGAAGTGATAAAAAGGAAAGTGGTGGAAAGGCTCAGTGAGGTAGATAGGTGTGCAGATAAGTAATTTGAGTTGAATCCTAAATATAGTAAAAAGCTGTTGTTGGAATCTTTCCAGTAAGGAAGGATAGAGTGATCTTGTTAAAATTACTGTCCTAGTTGCTGAGTGGAGAATATTTGAAAATTTAGTGGATGTTGTGGAGCAGAGGAATTATGAGTGATGTCTAGCTTTTTGGTCTGAGTACCTCCATGGTTCCTTTAACTAACATGGGGAACATGTGGGGTACAGCAGGTTTAGGGAAGAAGAGTCATTTTTTGTACATGTTAAGTTTGAGATGTCTACTAAACATCCATGGTAGAATGCTAAAGATATATATAAGCCTGAAATTTAGGGGACAGATTAAGATTGGTAATATGAATTAGGGATTCATCAGTTGTTATAGATGGTATTGAAAGCCATAAGTCTGCATGAGATTACCAGGGGTGAAATCTGTTGTGTTCAATATATGAGATATGATAACATTGTATTTTAACATTAATAAAGAGTAACTGAGCACCACAGTTAAGCATTTTCAACATCTAATTATAGAAGGAATGTTGATAATCAGTAATTGTAGATAGTTCTTCACTGAGATTGTTTTTATAATGTTCTAGGTCTGAGCCAGAGACTTTAGAACTATTGGTTTCTGAACTTCTTTTATTTTCAACTTATCAACTCTTAATAAGCAGATATAAATCTTATTTTTCAATAGTTGCAGAAGGTCTACCAATAGTATATGTAAAGGTTGTACATTTTACTTTATTTTTATTTTTGACCCTATTGTAGATGTTCCCCTTACCTCCCTCCCCCTACCCCATCTTTTGCCCATCTCTATCTAGCCTGCCCCCACCTTCCCTCTGGCCAATACCCCACTGTTGTCTGTGTCTATGGGTTATGCATGTGAGTTCTTTGGCTGATCCCTTCACCTTCTTTCACCCAGTCCTCACCTCCCCGCCTGCCCCCCTTGCCTGACAGCTGTCAGTCTATTCTATGTATCCATGCCTTTGTTTCTGTTTTGTTTGCCACTATATATTTTTTCATTCATTAGATTCCACATATAAGTGAGATCACATGGTATTTGTCTTTCTGTGACGGGCTTATTTCATTTAGCATAATAATCTCCAGGTCCATCCATGCTGTTGCAAAATGTGAGATTCCTTCTTTTTTACAGCCTTGTAGTATTCCATTGTATAAATGTACCACAGCTTTTTTATCCATTCATCTGTTGATGGGCACTTGTATTATAAATAATGTTGTATAAACATAAATGGGTGTATATATTCTTTTGAATTGATGATTAGGATTCTTAGGATATATATCCAGAAGTGGGATTGCTGGGTCAAAAGGAAGTTCCATTTTTAATTTTTTGAGGAAACTATATTGTTCTCCACAGTGGCTTCCACTGGTCTGCATTACCACCAATAATGCACTAGGGTTCCCTTTTCTCTACGTCCTCACCATCGCTTGTTGTTTGTTGCTTTATTGATGGTAGCCATTCTGGCAAGTGTGAGGTGATATCTCACTGTGGGTTTAACTTGCATCTCTGATATTTTCATATGTTTTCTGGCCTTCTGTATGTCCTCTGTGGAGAAGTGTCTATTCAGGTCCTTTGACTATTTTTTTCAATGGATTATTTGTCTTCCTGGTGTTGGGGTGTGCAACTTTTTAATATATTTTGTAAATTAACTGCTTATTAGATACATCATTGGCAAATATGTTATCCCATACAATAGGATATGTTATCCCATACAGTAGGTTCCCTTTTTGTTTTGTTTGTGGTT